AATTATTAGAATGGTAAAAACAAAGGCTGCATGGGGTATATGTCTTCGTCAACATAATTATGATTTTGTTAAACTGGCTTGCATGATCCAACTAGTTTGTTTCTTCAAGCCTCGGGTCCTTCCTTTCCTCCTACCTGTTTAAATTGCTAACTCATAAATGACTAAAACTTAATGCTCTAAGGTTGGTAGCACCTTGACCCCCAATTAGGCGGATTAAGAGAAAAGAAAAAGAAATCAATCACAAATTACGAGGATATTTACTTCATCTTTTTCCTTTTCCTTGTTGATTTAGTATTTACAGCTGGATGAATAGGTTGTCTCGTGTGCGACGTGTTATCCACAATTGGCCAGAGAGGAGGCCGTGGGCCGTGGATGAGACAGATCAGAGTAATTGATTTGAGCTGTCCAATACTTAAAATGTATGGCTATGGTAACTAAAATTTCTGCATGCTTCATGCATGCATCCTTTGCTGGATGCATAATTCAACCACCTTTTTTTCAGTATGTATATTTATCTAAATAGATACTAGTATATAAATTTATTATGTATTTAATTTAAAAAATTATAGGGGGACAAAAGTCACTTTTTGCTTAAATTGAAATTCATTAAAATTTAAAATACTTTGTTTTCGAAGAAAACCTGTAAGCTTATTGTAATATATTTTAAATGATAATTTGGATCTTAAAATGCAATGAATCGAGTTGGACCGAACCTTGAAACAGTCAAATATTTCATTATCCAGTTGCTAACTAATTGTTGAAGGAAATGTGAATGGAGATAGGGTTTTAGGAGACCGTGAGATCTCTAAGGTTGCTTAGGATTACCTCAAAATGTTATCTCCCACGGATGACCCGAATCAGGTTTTTCTTTTTCTCTATGTGCAATCTTGTATCTCGGCAGAATTAAACAGTGAGTTTAATTTTTAAAAATATTTTTTAGAATTATTCTAGAAGTTTAATGTTTTCCTAATATATATATATATATATATATATATATATATAACGTGATAGAACCATAATGTATCATGTAATAATAATATAATAAATGTTAAAATTTAATGTAAAATGGTAAAGGAATTAATGTTATTCCTTGAGTTTTGAGTTCGAGCATCAGAAATGACAGCGGTGTGAGCGTTCAATGTCAAATGGCTGATATTATCTTTGAATAGATATTGCCTTATACTTACCCCATATTAATAAAAACACAATCAAAATTAGTCAAACAACTTAATTGATTTAAATTTTAAATTTAATGATTTAATTGAAATAAATTCTTAATTTAAAATTTTAATTGATTGTAAAAAAATAAAATTTAATTGATTCTTTTCCCCCCAAAAGTTTGAATATTTTTTGCACTCTTAAACCAAAAATAATAATAATTTGGATGTTTGCATTGTCCTTTTCCTTTCCTTCCTCCATTTTCTAACCGTGGCAATGTTAGAAGGGTGATTAATGAAAGCCAAAATAAAATACAAAAGAAATCAGTTTAACACCCCGGCACAAATGTTGGCAACATATTTGCTAAATCGTAGATGGCATCACCAAAAGTATATAGATAAATAAAATAAAAATTAAGGTTTGGAAATGTTTTCTTTTCAATTCGGAACAAATATGGAAGGAGATAAGTTGTAATCACTTAGATTTTCAAATTTTCACTTTTATCACTCAAATTAAAATCGATATTTTTAGACAAATGTAAAAATCAATAGAGGAGTATAAATTATTTTATGCTGACATGGAGCTAATTAGTAAACTCAATACAATATTGTGACTAAATAATATATCAATTAACCTAATTGCTTTAAGGAAAGTTGTTGGAAACCAATAAAATTAATGATACGATGGACTGGCGAAGAATGGAAAGTAATATTATTTTAATAGTTTAACGTGATTATGCGGTAATATTTGTTTAAAATATTTTTTTAATCATTGACAACACACACCCGCAAACAAATATACGAACTCAATATCTCTAAGAGAATACTACTTCTTTTAATCACTCGTAATTTTAGACTCCAAACCAAATTTGATACTTTTCATGGCTATGGTAAATTCGTTCGTTAGCGAAATCCAATAAAAATGGACAATCAATTGTCACAATTAATGTATAGTAATTTAACTAATAATTTTAAAATGAGATTAATGTATAATTTTATAACAGTGTATTGGCAGTCAATTCATTTATTATATATGGAATTACACAATTTTAATATATCGAATATCTAGTGTGAGCATAGGGAGTTTACTTGTAGTGCAAAGTTTTCACTTTCACGTAAATATTAAAATGGTAGAAAAGAAACTCGTCTTATATAGTAAAATGTCAAATATTTGTAACAACCTACACTGATGCTTATATGTAATTTTTGGTTCAATGAGGAACAAATATAAATTTGTTATTATGACTGAATATATATTTTAAAGTTTGGTTTGAATCTATAATTTATTAAAAAGTATTTAATTATATCATCATTGACTCATTGTTGTAACATACATAAGAATACGAGTTTAAATACACTTGAGAATGTATCTTCTTATTTATAAGCGAAGAAAGAATCTATTTAGTTTAAACATTGTATCGAAACGAGTTTGGATATTTGCTGGTTAAATAAGCATTAGATTCGCGTTTAGGATGACAAAATGAATTTTGTGTAAAATTTTGGGATTCATTGCAAGAGAAAATATGAATAATAGATGATCTTTTTTTATTTTTATAGGGATTTCAAATGACATCGTTTTGATGCATTATCAGACTATTTGTTATGTGTCACACAATTTATGATTCAATGATTAAATTATTAAAATATGAATAATGTTAAAATTTAATAATTAAATTTTAAAAAATAGAATTCAATTATCAAAACGATAAAATCGGAGTTATGAAAATTTTCAGTTACCTTCTTTTTATTGGAAAGAGGGGAAATGGTTAGGAGTTCCGTAGATCTTTCATGGCAAAGAAAAGCCTTGTTTATAGTGTACAAATTGTCGAAGATTTAGTTGGAAAATAGGGTATTCCGATGGTATATCTTTTTAAAGAGATGCAATTTAAATTTGGATTTCATATTAGTTAAGAGACTAGGGGTGGCAAACAGGTCATTCGGATCAGATTATTTTGGGTTGGATAATTTCGGGTTTAGATTAAATTTGGTTTAATTCTGTTCGGATCTGATTTGGATCTAGTTTAGGTATACGGTGAATCAAATCGGGTCAGGTATCGGGTTGGGTCAATTTTCAGGTTCAGTGATTGTTGGATCGGTTGGTTTCCGATTCTGATCAATATCAGATAGTTTGATTTTTGGATCGGGTCAATATTGGTTCGAGTAAATACCAAATCAGTTGATTTTTAGGTTGGGTTAATACCGGATTGGTTAGATTTCAGGTCGGGTCAATATGAATCAGTTGATTTTCGATTTAGGTCAACCTTTAGATCAGGCTAATTCGGGTTGAATTGGTTATGAGTCTTATCAAAATCAAGTATATATAGAATAATTAATATATACTTGTAAAAAATGTATTCTTATTTGTTAATTTTATCATTTAGGTTTATTTTCAATTCTCAATCGTTCAATATTTTGAATTAAACCATCATTTAGCGATGATAAATAGATAATTTAACACAAATATGATCCTATATTACGTGTTAATTTGTTATCAAAATTTTATATTGATTTCGTATGAAAAGTTTATAATGAGAACTATTTGGTAAAGAAATAATTTTTTATTAAAAAATTTATTTCCAATTATAAATTTAATATTTTTATTAAATTTTTAAAAATAATACATAACTTTATTTGTTAAGTTTTAGTCGTAACATAAATAAACTTTATATTATTTTTATTATAAATCTAATATTTTTTCATTTGTTTGAGTTGTTTTCTATTTTTTTATTATAAATATAATATTTTTATAACAAGTAAGACAAATGAACTTTATTTATTACTATTTTCAATCTTACAATTAGATTCTTATTTTTATATTCATTTTAAACTTTCTATTATTTTGTTATAAATCTAATATTTTTTTAATATCTATTTTATTTAAATTAATTTATTATTGAAAATAACTTTTATCTTTTAATAAATTTTATCAATTTTAATATGTTCGATTTGCTTTTGGGTCGGGTTAAATTCGGTTTGGGTTGCTTTCAAATCGGGTTAAAATTTTGTTCGGGTTTCTTTCGGTTCGTGTTAGTTTCGGTTTGGGTTCGGATTAATTTCGAATTCGCTAAATTTAAGATCGAATATGGTTTGAATGGGATATCATATCAAATTTAATTATTATGTTCGAGTTAATATCATATATTGGATCGGATAAATTGATTTCGGGTCCAGTTTTCCAGATCAATAAGAGACCGTTTAGGATTCTCTTCCCAAACCCTTGACATGTAAAAAATAAAATCCATGATTATGTGTTGAAAATCATGACTGGCATGAATAAAATAATATATACCAATTCTAATTTGTCTTGAACTCAATCATAACAATCTTATCTCGAAATAAACGCTAACCCAATCATCGATTAAATATTTAAAAAAAAACTAAATAAGGCACTTACGAATTAAAAAACACCTCATTAGTATGATTAAATTAGAAGACTAAGGCCACTAATTCAATGTCTTATTCATCGTGACCTTGCTTTTCTTTTTCTTTGGAAGCTGATTTTATATATTAAACATCGGCCACTCTCTATTAACAATATATGATTATATATATATTATTACTTTTAGAGTTTGTAAAAAATATATTTAGTAAGTTGGTTAAACTTTTTCATTTTTATTTTTTCATATCTTTTTAGATAATATTTCCCTTCATTCCTCTCTCTTTTAAATAAAAATAGAATTAGATTTAGAATTTGTAAAAAAAAAATAACTAAGGTTTCCTAGGTAGGTCAGCATTTATAAATTATATGTAGAACTAGAATATACTAGCATTATATTTAAACAAAAAGACTAAATTAGTATCATGTACTAATCATATATGAAGAAGTTCTTCCCTTTAGAAAGATTGTAGCATAAGAGATTATGAAATTTAAGATATGTTTGAAAAGAAGTTCAAATGAAAAAAGAAAGAAAAGTTGGCATATTACTTAACCTTGCCATGATTTCTTAGACTGCTCGCGTTGCTCATCCGAAGAATCGATGCAGTAACTACTGGTGCCAGTGATGTTGAGAATATTGGCATGAGAGAAACCTCTAAGACTCAAGAAATCTCTTGTCAAGCCTTGACTCTGCTCAGTGGTAGCGTTTGTCGTCGTTGTTTTCGAGAATGATTCGTTGATGGAACTCCCATCTATCTTCTTTAGGTTGAAGATGCCACCACCGAATGCGAGGTCATCGAAGGAATCAGTGGCGGAACACAAAGAATTAATCATGTCTTGGAGAAGGGAAGGAGTAGCACCTGAGACAACGTTGTCATGATGATGATGATGAACGCCTGCGATGGCAGCAGAAGGTTTACGGTTCCCGAAAGGAGGCAAGCCATGGATAAGTCCACCACTACTACCCACATGGAGTTCTTGTTCACGTGAAGGCAAGTCGAGTCCAAAACCAGCTGTTGTTGTGTTGTTGTTAGTGCCAGCAGAATCAGCAGGCACGTGAGTAGGTTGGTGGGGTCTCATCAACGAGGCCGGTACTGTTGATGACCCAATTTTACCGCTCACGGTCGAACCCATACGAGATGCTTTCTGAAGCAATGCAGTGGCTGACATGTGAGGGGAAGGCACTGTCGTTTCATGGTATGGAGGAGGAGGGAGAGTGGGGACAAGACTAGGGTTAGGGCTGGGGTTCCCATGTAGCGTTAAATCTTGATGATCTAATCTCGAGGAGAATATTGACGATGATGAGGAGGAAAGGTCTATAGGGTGCTGTGGGCCAGGACCAGCCCCGAGCATTGCTTGGCTGGCCAGCCATGGAGGAATCTCTGCCCTTAGAGGAGTGAAACTTTGCTTCTCATTCTTAAGTGAAAATGCATGGGGATTGAACTGTGGCGCTTGTAAACTAATGTGAGACGAGGCTTCACCTGGCTGATGAGCTGAAAGAAGCGGGTTGATTGCTCTTGCATTCTCCACTGCCAAAGCTTCACAGAATGCTCTATGAGTGATGAAACTATCCCTCCTGGAGAAGAACCCAAAATAAAGGAAAAAGGTTTTAAAAAATAAACACAACAAAACAAAAACTAAACCAGTGATCATAAAGTGCTACGACAATGGCAGAAACACTTTTCTCTCCCTCTTTTCTGCATCCCATTCATTTTATTTTTTTCTCCCTCATAGGACAAACTGTCCACTCGGGCTAGTGCAGAAAATAAATTTTCCATGTTTATTCTTGCCATCTCTATCTCTTTCTATCTCTAGGGTTTGAAAACTAGGAACTGCCAGATGTATATATTGCTATTAATTCTTCAATTTAAAGTTTATCCGTGAGAACCTTTTTGGTTTCAAAGCTATACTTGAGTGCACGCCACAATAAATGAAGATTTGATGATTGTTGTTGTGCTTCAATGGATATCATTATTGTGTTCATGGGGAGGAAGATGGGTTTCGTTATTTATTATACCTTGAGAAGAGGGTTCCACAGTCACATCTATATTCTCTAGTGCCACAAATCTTGGAATGAGCTTTCCAATCCGATTGAACTGCATACTTCTTCGAACATTTTTCGCATTTCCACTTCTTTTCGCCATGTTTCCTCGAGAAGTGCTTCTTGATTCCAGTCAAGTCTCCGAGCGCCCTCGACGGATCATGGTGAACGCAGTTTGCTTCCGGACAAACGTACACCTTCTTCCTCACCTCTTTGCTTGTTCTTAGCTTTAACTTCCATGGCAGATTATGTCCTCTTCTATGAAGCTGAAGGTTCTGGTCTCTTTGAAACCCTTTGTTGCAGATCTCACACACGAATCTATTCGTCAGCATGAGTGTTTTAGGAGACAAAGCTATCACTTCTGCATCCGGGTCTGATTCCAAGACATAAAAAAAACCCACCAAAAATACATAAAAAAAAAAGTGAAAAGGACACAAACAAAACAAGTAAAAAAACCAAACCTGGGTTGCCTGGTAGGTTTCTCTTCTTCTTGGCCGGCTGAGCTTGAGGTTGTTGAGTGGTGAAGTATTGTTGAGGATAATTGGAACCAGCTTCAATTCTATTGCCTGATGAAACACTGGCTTCACCAGATGCAGAAGCCGAAGTCAAATTCGACATATTCTCTTCAAAAACTCGTTTTTGTTGCTGTTGGTGGTGGAATAATAAGCCCTTCATCATCTTCTACTGCATGAACCAATGAATCAGACCTCCAGAATTGGCATCATGCCCCATGGATCTTGGTTTTACAAAAAAATAAAAAAAAAGTTGGGTACACGTACAAAAAGAAAATCCAAAGATAAAAAACCAAAACTAAGTGATAAAAGATAAAGAAATTGATACTTGGTTAGCTATGCTTAACATATATGAACGAATACATACGATAATCATCGTATTGGATTCAACCCAAGAGACAATGGCTGTTTTGTTGTTTAGAAATACTTTAAGAAGAAACAAATAGAGCAAGTAATATATTATAACTCATGCAAATATATAACCAGATATAGAGCTGAAGCAGATCCTCCATGTATGTCCGCTTTTAATTAAGCTTCATGTTTTTAATAAAAATATAATCTAACAATAACCACACAAAATTTGAACCTGATCAACTCACGAAACTCAGACAAAGAGAGGGAGAGACAGAGAAAGAGATGTGGATGAGATGAAATCCCTCTTTAATCCTCAAAGCTGTCCTAAAATGAGAACCCAAAACCACAAGCCGAAGGGGTGGGTCGGGTCGGTTTATGGTAAAAAATATCCTACCCAACCCAACCCAAAAAAATATAATTTTATCTTATATATTTAGGAATAATTACAATAATATCCCTCTATATATTAATTTTTTTAATTAAATCAATGTTTTTATTGAATAAAAATAATATTTTTATTATTTTGGATCGAATCGGATTCAGATTTTATCTCAAAAAGTCGGGTCGAATTCAGATCGGGTAGAGAGTATATATTTTTCGGGTCGAGTCGAATCAGGTGAAGGATGTAAAACTTTTGAGTAATGTCGGATTGACCGAAACCCGACCCATGCCCATCCTTGTTATCTTATATATATTGACATCATGATCATGGGGTAGTAGACCTTTTTCACATTTACAGTGAAATGATTGATCCATTGATTAAATATATATAAGATGTTGCGGAAGACGACTATCGGATAGAGTAAAAGAGCAAAATCGCAACTGATAATTTGAAAAAAAAAAGTGAAGATAAAAGAGACACAAAATTTACGTGGAAAACCCCTAAAAAATTTAGGGTAAAAACCACGGGCAACGGTAGAAGAATTTCACTATGAGAAAATAGGAATTACAACCTCTCTCGATCTACCAAGGAGAAAACAATGATAATTCTCTCTTGATAAAAAAGGAGAAAACAACTCTCTAAATTATCTCTAGTATTGGAAAAAAGCTAGAATGCTTTGGGATAGTTTTGAAGCTAAATGAGATAGGGTATTTATAGCTAAATCTTAAGGACTTAATCTTGTAAATACCCTAAATTTTAGTGACTAGAGTTTGTAATTTGATCATATAAAAAATAATAAAAAATTATGCACCTAATTTTCGGTGCCAACCCATTTATTATTTTTGACTTTCTACAATCTCCCACTTGAAGATTTGATTGGAACAATCATATCTTCACACCATTCTTTCTACCTTGTACCATCATGTTGCTTATGTATCTTCTTCCACCTTTTCACGAATGAAATGGTACTGAACTCGTATGTGCTTTGTTCTTGAATGAAATGCTGGATTCCTTGCTAAATGCAAGACGCTTTGACTGTCACAAAATAGAGAGACATACTCTTGATTGTGCCCAAGCTCCTCCAATAGCATCTTCAACCAAATTGCTTCTTTACTGGCTTGTGTAGCTGCTATATATTCTGCCTCTATTGTGGATGTAGCCACAACTGACTGTAATTTTGAAACCCAGCTTACAGCTCCACCAGCAACTTTGAACACATATCCTGTAGTAGATTTGCTTTTATCCAAATCCCCTGCATAGTCAGAATCTACATACCCATTGATTAGTAAGTTTGATCCTCCGTAACATAATGCAACATTTGAGGTCCCTTTGATGTATCTCAGGATCCTCTTTACTGTATTCCAATGCTCTTTGTCTGGATTCGCCATGTACCGACTAACCACTCCCACTGCTTGTGCAATGTCTGGTCTTGTGCATACCATAGCGAACATTAAGCTTCCCACTGCTGATGCATACGGTACTCGAGACATCTCCATCCTCTCTTCTTCACTGCTAGGACTCATACTGGAGGATAATTTGAAGTTAATAGGAAGATGGGTAGAAATTGGCTTACAATCTTGCATGCTAAATCGTGACAAGATTTTCTTCAAGTAATTCTTTTGTGAAAGCCAAATCTTCCTATTACTTCTGTCTCGGTGAATTTGCATCCCTAGAATCTTGTTTGCTGATCCCAAGTCCTTCATTTCAAATTCCCTAGCCAGTTGTGCCTTCAATTCTTCAATATGATCTTTGTTGGGTCCTGCAACCAACATGTCATCCACGTACAACAGCAATATAACAAAATCGTTATCACCAGACCTCTTGAAATAAGCACAAGGGTCAGCATTAAGTCTGTTGTATCCAAGGCACATAATGAAGGAATCAAATCTCTTATACCAACACCTCGGCGCCTGCTTTAGACCGTACAGAGATTTGTTCAACCTGCAAACCAAGTTCTTCTTTTCTTCTTCTTCAAAACCTTCAGGCTGGAGCATATAAATCTCTTCTTAAAGATTTCCATGAAGAAAAGCTGTTTTAACATCTAGTTGCTCTAGATGTAAGTTCAATGTAGCACACATTTCCAAAACTACTCGAACTGTTGTTAGTCGAACCACAGGAGAAAATATTTCATTGAAATCAATACCTTCCTTTTGAGCATATCCTTTGACCACCAGTCTTGCACGATACCTCTCAACTTGATCGTCACCATTTCGCTTGATTTTGAAGACCCATTTGTTACCAATTGGCTTCATTCCTTGTGGTAGTGGCACAAGGTCCCATGTATTATTTTTATGAAGGGCTTCAATTTCTTTTTGCATCGCCATCATCCACAGTGAAGCATCTGAGTTGTTTATTGCCTCCTGGTATGTTGATGGCTCACCGTCCTCTGTTAAAAGGCATTATGCAATATTACCTTTTATAACATAATCTGAGTGCCAATTGGGACGTCTTCTCACACGATCTGATTGACAAGTTGTTGGAGTTTCAAAACTCTCTGGTTCTTGTTCATCATGTGCTGGTTCTACTTCAGAATAATCTCCTTGTTCAACCTCCTTTTCCACATGTATCTGTGTAGTCTCTGACTTTTCAGCGCTATCATCATCATATTTTCTTTGTAGTTTATCTTCTACAAAGATAACATCCCTGCTGATGATCACTTTGCGGGCAGTGGGATCCCACAAGCGATACCCCTTTACACCATCAGCATACCCCAAGAATTTGCATTTCCTGGATTTTGGATCCAACTTTAAAATTTCTTGGGTGTTGTACATCACGTACACAATACTTCCAAATACATGGAGGTTTGAATAATCAACTGGTTTACCAGTCCACATCTCCATTGGTGTCTTCAGCTCTATTGCAGTTGATGGAGCTCGATTCACCAAATAACAGGCGGTATTGACTGCTTTTGCCCAGAATAATTTTTCTAGGCCTGCGTCCCTCAACATTGCTCTTGTTCTTTCTAACAAGGTTCTGTTCATCCGCTCTGCCACTCCATTTTGTTGAGGAGTGTTCGCCACTGTGAACTGTCTATTGATGCCTTCTTTCTTGCAAAAGTCATCAAATTCTTCGCTTGTGTATTCTCCTCCATTATATCTTCTGAAACACTTGATCTTATTTCCATAATCAAGTTCCACCCGCGCTTTGAAGTTTTTGAAAGTTGAAAACACGTCTGACTTCTTCTTAATAGGGTACACCCAACATCTCCTGTAGTAGTCATCAATAAATGAGACAAAGTATTTTGCTCCGCCTAGGGATGTAACTGGTGCTTGCCATACGTCAGAGTGAACAAATTCTAGAACACTTTTGCCTCTAGAATTTGATGTGTTGAATTTCAACCGGTGCTGCTTACTTGTTATGCAATGCTCACACAAAGTAAGTGATACATTCGTTAAGCCTGGAAGTAACTTTTGCTCCACAAGGACTTTCATTCCTTGTTCTGACATGTGTCCAAGTTTATGATGCCATAACATTGCAGAATCTGAACTACATGAGGCAACAGAGGCTTCTGCTTCTAGCAAAGTCTCTCCCTGCAGCATGTACAAGTTTGCTTATTGAGTTAATCGAATGACGAAATTGGCCAAGAGGGGGGTGAATTGGCAATAAAAAATTTTGTGGAAGCTTTTGCAGAGAATTGAAAGTATTTGCACAGCGATTTACAGTGGTTCGACTTTCTCAAACAAAGTCTACGTCCACTACCTTAGCTATCCACACTAAGGATTTTCCAATAAATTCACTAATTTGTTCTTTCTTTTGAGGCCAAAGAGATAACCTTACAATTCCCTCAAGAGTATACCCCAACTCTTGAGAACACTCTTTTCTCAAAGAGAAGATTACAAATTTGCAAACTTACAAGAAAACCTCACAAGGTAAGATGTTTGCACAATTCTAGAACAAAGAAAAGAACACTCAAAGATGAATACAATTGAGCACAGAAAGTGTTCTTGAAAGCAAAAAGAATATTGAATGAAAATAGGCTTGAAATGCTCAAACTTGAGGTTTGATGCTTTCTCTTTGATTCTCTCTTGATTCTAGTTGCTTGATGTTTCTTGTTCTTGATCAATGGCTTCTAAGCTTGCTTAAATACACCTTGGATCACTTCTGAACGTTGGGGATAATTAGAGAAGATATTATAGCCGTTTTAGTGTGAAAACATTTAATAAAACAGCTTGGAGCGTGAGGGGAATCGGTTCCCTCTCATAGGGAATCGGTTCCCTAAGTGTAAAATTCAAATATTTCGACCGTTGAACAGGGGGGAATCGGTACCCCCTTTGGGGGAATCGGTTCCCTCCGAGCATTCTGGAAATCTCGGAGCCAAACCCTTCAGGGGGAATCGGTTCCTCCTATGGGGGGAATCGGTTCCCTCTGAGCAATCTGGAATTTTTGGCTTTGAATTGGTTCGAAATACTTTGTAAAATTATTTTGAAATTGTTTTATGATTAAAACTTAATTTTACACTTAAGTAAGGATCAAAAATGATTTTTGAAATATTTGGAGTAATGTTTTGATTATTCGAATAGTTATATCGAATATACTTAGAAAATCATTTGGAAAATCTTAAAATCCATTTAACTTAATTTGTTATATCGAAATATTAAAATGTTTCAACAATCTCCCCCTTTTTGATATAACAAAACATTTTAGTAATTTTAAGATTTTTGAAATCAAGTTTTGAAATTACTCCCCAAGTTTTGAAATTACTCCCCCTTACTTTAACACTTCTTCAATTTATCATGTAAAACATTTAACACTTATTCTTCTCCCCCTTTTTGTTAAA